TTTGTTTCCTGTATGCAGGCTATATCCACTCGTCGTCTCCTCAGGAGATCCGCCAATTCTCGATGTCGTCAGTGAGGGTTCCGGCATTGATGGTAGCTAATCGGAGTGCTTCTGAGTTTTTGGATAGTTGCCCTCAAAGAGCCTTTCTTACCCGTCTCCGCTCGTTGTAAGACGGTGGCCCTAGCCCACTATTCGCACCCGTCCGGCTCGAGTGCGCGTCGCTTCCGGGGGACATCCCAGCTTCTGCTCGATATACTTTATTAGACATTAACTCATTTAGATGCGACGGGGTGTTTCTAAGCCGGCTTATCGCGCGCCCTGAAGGTAAGCCTGACGCTGGAGCGACAGCATCTCCTTTCTTGTTTATAGCAAAAGAAGATACTAAACAGCAAATAAGCGAACCTGTGAAGTGTATCCTTGTAAATAGTGTCCGGAATAAGGTTTGTTACCCGTATCGTACCAACCTAAAACAGCAATTTGTATCTATGCTACAGTGCAAATAAAGAGACTTTGACTATAATGTCTTTCTGATAAAAAGTCAATTTTAATCGTGGCTTGAGGTAAAAGCTCAAATCACCACTGCACAACGTTTTGATATCACTTGTAACAACTGAAGATCGTGAGTAAACTTTGTAGTTCAGGGATTTTTGCACATCAACTTGTTTGACGCAATTATATAACTTAATATGGAAAGCATAATTCTGCACAAAATTCATCGAAAACCTTACCTCAAACAGATGCTCGCCGGAGTTATCAATTCGCATGGTTCTCGTGTACCTGAATATTTTGATTTTTGCCTACAATCATTCAGTGAGTAATCAAATCACTCACAAGAAGTTACGTATTTGAATTTGCGCAATGGAAATCTGGCCATCACTCTCAGTCAACTTCCAGATGCAATCCTCAAAGCAGACCTGAATACTGCAGTTTAGAAAGTCTTCTCAAAACTAATTGAAAATTTAAGTTTTTTTTTGTAGAAAGTTACCACTGTTTTAGTTGACATCACATAGGAAAAGTATCCATCCATGTTACATATTTCACACATTTCGAGTTTTCCAATTTCAACAGTTGAAAATTTAAAAAATGTTACTTCGAATCTTCTCGCAACAGCTGCTATACCATCCTCTTCCTCTAATTTGTTGAAGCCAGTCGCCCGCGCCGCCTCTATTTGACGTTGTTTATAGCAGCTAAATCAGTCACAATAGGAATTAATTTCTTTAATTCAATTATTTCCGTGCCATTCCCAACCTGATAAAGATCGCTAGCTTATCAGACACCTCTAACTGCTTCGCTTTAACATCTTCCATTTCATCTACAATCTCCCGACGCTTTTGCTCATCAACATCTCCATTGGACTGAGAGTCCAAGAAGAAGAGTTGTCTCTCCAAAGATCGTACAACAGACACTATTTCACGGAGTTCGCACTAGA